TATAAGGTATATTAGTTTGTGTGTGCTAATTACTGTTACAGTGCATTATTACTAACCTGGTAAGGAACCGTTTAAATGCCACCAGATTTAAACCTTTTCAGACCCCCTCCCCCTCTGTATGCCACTTTGTTGTGTAGTAATTATATTCGCGTAAGCTTTTCCAAACCCTTCCCCTTCTAGGCTGGCATACATTATAATAATATATAATTAATGATCCCTAACACTGAGGTAAATTTGTATGTGTTTCAACGGATTTGTTTGATAGTCAGACTAGCTATCACATTATAAACCAGATGATCCGTCAAATTTATAAATTTAAGCAGCAACGCATTTTGCTCCAGTTCCCTGACTCGCCCTGAATAACCCAAGATGTACCACCAACTATTTATAAGAAGTGATGACAATTCACGATAATGCGAACATTGTATCACTGCACACGTACTCTACACGTTTTCTACACGTAGGTAATTTTTATCTTTGATGGTGTGAGTGTTGTCCATTATAACATTACTACTTAATAATACCCACTTTAGCAATGTCTGTGCAGTTCTAAAATAGATATACTGTGTAGAACTAATCCACACTGTAATCTACACTAACAGATACGTGTTTAATCTGTATCATGATATTATAGTGCTGTCATCGCTTATCTGGTTGATCTAAGTAGGCAGGGTAAAAATGTTCTAAATTGAGTTTTGATTCTCTGCCAGGAACTTGAAACGAAAACCGCCCAATTTAAAATACATTATGTCTGCGACTAAATTACTTGGATAGAATCGTATTGGCCGACAGCGTCACGTATGTCTTGTACGTTAAGAATTAAACGTTGAACTTTTTAGTGGTCGTATGAATGAGAGCTTTTGTCGGATAGATAAGGGTAAACGGGTGGTTGTTGAATAATCTTAGAACTAGAAAAATAATGGATTAATAGAATGTTTCTGAAATGCTCTTTACAAATAGGGTTAGTTTCACGCTGCAGGCTGAGTATAGAGTGGCACAGAATGATTTTCATGTCATGTTAGGAACACTATTTACTTTTCTAGGTACCTGTTCTCCTAATAACTTAATAATCATAACAATAACAGAAAATAACTCAATAACCGTCCTTGTCATGACATATAGTTAATTCTGGGCCCTCTGTTTAATACTGAACATGTTGTTATGGGCATGGTTGTAAGTATGGACAAGGTAAGTATGGACAAGGTAAGTATGGACAAAGTAAGTATGGACAAGGTAAGTATGGACAAGGTTGTTAGTATAGACAAGGTAAGTATGGACAAGGTAAGTATGGACAAGGTTGTTAGTATAGACAAGGTAAGTATGGACAAGGTAAGTATGGACAAGGTTGTAAGTATGGATAAGGTAAGTATGGACAAAGTAAGTATGGACAAGGTTGTTAGTATGGACAAGGTTGTAAGTATGGATAAGGTTAGTATGGACAAAGTAAGTATGGACAAGGTTGTTAGTATAGACAAGGTAAGTATGGACAAGGTAAGTATGGACAAGGTTGTAAGTATGGATAAGGTTAGTATAGACAAGGTTGTAAGTATGGACAAGGTTGTTAGTATAGACAAGGTAAGTATGGAAAGTGCTGTAAGTACGGGGTTTAGGCGTGTGCTGACTGGCTGTTGTAAACGTGAACCCCTACAAGACACTATACTACCAACAGTTTGATAATTGTTTTGTGCACATTATTCGTTACATTCCATTCTCTTTACGTTTTCACTGTGGGTCACAATGTCACACTGCATGTGACATCAGCACTTCTCTGATTTGTCTCGTGATATCAGCACTTCCCTGACTTGTCACGTGACATCAGCACTTCCCTGACTTGTCACGTGATATCAGCACTTCCCTGACTTGTCACGTGATATCAGCACTTCCCTGACTTGTCACGTGATATCAGCACTTCCCTGACTTGTCACGTGACATCAGCACTTCCCTGACTTGTCACGTGACATCAGCACTTCCCTGACTTGTCACGTGACATCAGCACTTCCCTGACTTGTCACGTGACATCAGCACTTCCCTGACTTATCACGTGACATCAGCACTTCTCTGACTTGTTGGTAAATAACGTCTCCTTCACTCAGCTGTGGTCACTAAAATTAGCTTCCAAACGACGAGCCAGTTAACACTCATCACTCACACTTTCTCAGCAAACACGCACAATTAACAAATAATACACAGTAAAAGGTACGCTGCTAAAAAGTAAGCATTTAGTAGGTAATAATGTCAGTCAGTGCGTCTCTCTAAAAAGGTAGGATGCTCTGAATAAACCTGCTACCTTCCAAGAATCTTTACTTTTCCTAACTACACTCATTATGCTATATCCTTTAAAAACCCTGTGTTCAGTAAAGTGTTAAGTGTTGAGTACACGATGTGGCTGTATTCCCGGTGACTCTGGTTCAATAGCACGACATTATACCATTTGTCTGAACAGACGGCGCGGCCTATGGTTTACCGTCACAATCCTGTTTAGCTACATGGACTGTCAAAAATAATGAGATTTTACGATATCATTTCTAAACGTTAATGAATGATTAAAATGAAGGATTATTCGTGAATGAAATAGGAAACTCCGAGCTACAGTATTATTGTTAGGGTTTTAAAGGGGATAGAAGTTAATGGAGTGTGTATCCCCATGCTCGGTCAATAAAACTTTAATATCCAAATTATACACTAGTTACTTAATTAGCAGCAATTTCGACAGGTAAAATATAGTACTTGTTTTATTTTGGAACAGACATAAACCTTTAATCATCCCATTAACCGAGAACAGAAGGTGTGAACTAGCCAGAAAATGAACGATCAAGTTAAACAAAAAGTAATTTCATTTCTTTACGATTATAACAATTGTAACGGAATAATATTGGGTACCATAATCATGTCAAATAATCTGCAGGAAGAAATTTGTAAATTACAATCACTGTGCATGTGGATATGCTATCTTATAGTTTCGATTATTTTTCACGAGAAATCGCCAAGTTGCAATGAGTTTTATTGAAAGTCGGGGGAGATGGAGAAGTGGGAATCCTTTAAAGAAACTGTTTTCTCCTGACCCTCCTCCATCATCACTTCATATTTTGTACAGGAGGACGCGGAACGGTTTGCGGAGTCCCTTGGAGTGAAATATATGGAGACATCTGCCAAGAACAATGAGAATATTTCTGAAGCTTTCCAGGTGGGTAATTATAACTAATGATGTAATATTTATTTATCTCATGTGATTGATTATAAGGTAAAATAAGCTGCTCCAGAATTCTAAGTGGTCATTTTATTTTACCATAATAGCTCATTTATACCGTAAAGTTGCAACCATTTGATTCGTTAGTTTATGAAGTTATTATTCTAGGCTCATATTTGGAGGTTACTTATCTGTGAAATTTATAAATAATTATAAATTAGGTTTTTGGTGAAAATCATGCTATTCAAGTGCCTCCTTATCAATCTTTCTGTTTCAGTTTTTAATTGGAATGTTGGTGGAATCCCGTTCTGCAGAGACAGCACCGATTGAAAACAATACAGGAAAAAAGAAGAAGAAGAAAAACCAGGGCATTAAACGATTCTTGTGTGGACTCGCTTGATTACAAAATGAGATGATAAATAGACATCCTGTCTCAATTAGTTAATTGATCAATTAATTAATTAATAATTAATTAGGTAGAGTAACCGCACTCTGCTTAGATTCTGAATTGTAATTGAGGATAACATTTTTTGTACCCATTGAATGTTCCTGATGAATTATACGCTATTTTATAACGAATTTACGATAATTACTCGGTTGGAATAAACGAGCATCAAGTTTGTCCAAAATTGTAGATAATCTGATACTCCTTAACTTGGCTCTTGTGTGTACTGGCTATCCAAACAACTGGACCATCAGGAACATTTTTTACATACCTATAAAACTATTATAGATCATGTATTTTCAGCGAAAAATCAAGGTTTGTGCATTTCTTCCTCGCATAAACATATGTACACGCAAATTCCTCTAAATTCCTCTAAATTCCTCTAGTCACTAGGCGTTAGGTGTTTCCGTTGTGTTCTAGGTGATAATGATATGGAAATGTTCGTAGTCTTACAGAACGGAAATGAATAAGCAATAACATTGTAACAATTATATAATATGTGGGGAATTTTGTGGTATTTTGGGGAATGCCTTAATGGATTTTGGAAAATCCCTATAATTTAGAGTCCCACATATTACCACAAAATACCACAAAATTCCCCTTGGCTTCCCCCTATGTGGTATCAATAATTCCTAGCTTTTTTAGAACGGATAAACTAATATCCTAATTTTCTACAGCTTTAATGGCAGCCAACTATATAAATAGCAACGTAGTTTCATGTTTAATATATAATATACATATATAGTTACAATAATTCGATTTTGTTGTTTTTTTTTCTTAACTCTATTCTGCGTTTTTATCCCCCAATGTGTTATTATCGTTAACTGGTTTATATATTTTTTTCAAATATATGTTGAAATCATTAAAATCGAGTATTCTATTTTAAACATATTACTAAAGTAATGGAAACGATGTTATAAGTTTTAATAATAACATATTTTAATTTGTATTATCACGGAATGTGTCCCTATTTGTGGAATATGCATGAAAATGATAAAATTTGGGTGAAATATAATTGCATCTTGGACCATATTGTCATGGTTAATGATTTATAAATTTCATCTAAGAATGCTTTGAAATGCACAGTTCTTTGTTTCGTGAAATAATTGTACTTCTTTTTGGACTATTAGGCTTTACATTATCTCAGCTTAATTTTGACCGATTCGTGAACAACATTTCATTGATTTCTGTAGCAGCATTAAATACGATGAATTTTTAGTTACGATGGCATATGAGTTGTTTTAACACAAGTAACCCCGTTGCTTTGAACAATTTTTTGGTTGAATCTTCCTTAGATGAATAGTATTTTTAGGACATTTATCTACACTAATGATTGTGCTAGGTTTTGTTAAAATTATTCTTATTAAACGATCAGTTTTATTTTGTCAATGGCTGTTAAACAGTCATGAACATGAAGTGGTCACAAGGATGAAGAACATAAAAATAGGTGGTGGATCTGTATCTTACCGTTTTAAAGTGGTTCAGTGTTTGCTATTGATGCTTTTCATACAAACAAGTTAAAACAAATTCTTTATGCCGTGCATCCTGGGTTTGGACAGGATATGCCCGCTTAAAATACTTCCATCGCGTTACACTACATAATTCTCAATAAATGAATTTAATTGTAGTTGTGAAAATAGTTTTTAAAAATGTAATGATTACAGGAGTTGGTATGAAGATCAGCCTATGATATTAGATCGTAAAGTGAACGATCGTTAGACGTTTTAGGGTTTAAACTAAAATTGTGACACAGCTTGCCACCAACCGTTTTAGAGTTGTTCAGTTATCCTTAGTTATCCTTAGTAATTAGTTATCACCAGAATTAATAACAGACCCCTGACAACTACAATTTTAGTTTAAACCCTAAAACATTTTAAGATGGTTTAATTTACAATATAATATTATTGGTTGACCTTCATAGCAGCTATTGAATCATTATATACCAAACACGTACACTAAAGTCTAAACCACTCTAAAACCGTCAGATACAGTCGGGTGCAAGCGGACCACATATGGGGGCAAGCTGATTCGCCATTTTATAAAGTGAGTGGCTAATTAAGTTTAGTCGTTGATAACTCTAGTCAGAATAAAGAAGAATAATACTGGTAATAGCTCAATAATCGGCTAATTACAAGATGGGGGAAGAATCACACTCTACACAAAAATAAACCGAAAGAACACCCTTTCCGTAAAAGTCAAAGGGTCTACTTGTAGTAGTTACGGGGATGGCGCGGTAGTTTTATTGTAGACCACGGCTGTTCAAAAGGGCGATTTTTGCGATTTTAATCAGATAGGATTACCCTAGGATTTATCCTAGCGCGCCCGAGACATCTCGGATTTTATCAATCCTAACGCCGATCCGGTTCCCCCAGGATACCTCTGACGAATTCCTATCGCCGAGCGGCGATAGGATGTGTAAGTTCCGAGAGGCGATAGGATTTGCTCTCGGACCCGATAGGAAATTAAAAACCTATCGGATCCGAGCGCTAATCCTAGCGGAGATAGGATTTAACAATTCCGAGTGCCGATAGGATTTTCTCTCGGACCCGATAGGATACTCAAATCCTATAGGATCCGAGAGCAAATCCGAGAGGCGATAGTATTTTCTATTGATTTCATCTAATATTCGTACGTGCGCAGCTTTATAGTAATGTGGACGCTTTTCAATAACTTTCGACAGGGTAAATTTAACTGCCGTTACCGATCAGTCTAATGTTTTGAATGTGGCAAATAGTTTCAACTCCATATTTTTTGAAAAAGAAATACACATATTTTCTTACTGTTTCTGTACTTTTATTATGTTAATATTAATGTCTAATGTCTATAAGGGGTCTTGTATCTTCTTCATTTCCAGGATGCATTGTGTTGCTGCTTCTTTCACAGCAAGTATGTACCCAGTTAAAGGATCTAGACTAGCTGAAAAAATATGATCAGTAAAAGTGTTAAAGGAGCACCGTAACAGTTGACATACAGACTTCATTATTTTAATATCATGTATCTCCTCCGATGGTTTAATAAAGTGAAAAACTTCAATCATTCATACCATATCGGGGACGGATACGGTTCATCATAGCGTGGAGGGATTCCCCTCCCTGCTCGTTAAATTTTCCCAGTGCAAATCCAAGCAGCCTCATTTGGTCGACTGCGTGGTCTTCCAAAAAGTGAAGTTTAGGGGTGATGGAGTAACCCGCCTTTCTCCATTCAATGAGGAATTTCGTAATCCCCCTTTCGATCATCCCTAAGTCCTCTTCATTCACCCTAAAGAAAATTACTTACTTTGTTTGTATTCATCAAATAGCATAATGGATGGACATCTACTCAACATTACTATTACAAAATCCAGGCTACTTTTGTTGAGATTTAAATCATTTACGCACTTTGAAGTGTTTCCGACATAAGTTGAGATTGGTTTGTAGGACTCAGATATTCTGTTAATTACAGAATGTTTCTTCCTGATATCAGCTACAACATCATCCTGCAGAAACGCCTGGCAAAGAGCAACGTTCCAGAATTTCTCTCGTAGCTCATCCCTTCTCTTCACAAAGTTGTGGGCATCGTTGCCGTTCAAAGTTGTGCCAAAATGTGACTTTGGTTTTACTCCTAAAGAACAAATATGTATGATTAAGTGTTGATGACAATTGCTTTGTGTTAAATAAATAATCTAAGAAGTACACTCAAATCTCTTAAAGTAATGTGAAATAGATCGTACCGATATTGTTACAAGCTCTGTAAAAGTTCTCTCTGAATGGACCAGATGTTATGTTAGCAGGTGTAACAGTCTGACCCTTTCTTATTCGCACAACGTGCGAATAAAAATCGTTCTCTTCGGTTTCAAGAACCCCGTAGTCACTAGCCTTTTCTGTACCATTAGCAATAGCCAAGACTAGAGAATGGTCTATCAATGAAACAAGGTCTCTATCGGCCTTCCAGAGGTCAGTACCAACTTTGAGGTTCTGTGAGAAATATCTTTTGTGTAAATTAGATACAGACATGTCGGGATATTTATCGTCAATTTATAATTACTCACTACTCATGAATAAATATTACTAACCACATGTAGGAAAGGAATAATCAGCCAATGATGAATTGGTAAGTTGTTCATGTCATTGGGAGCCTTGGTTAGCTTTGGCTTATCAATAATATTCTGATATTGAGCCTGTAAATCCCGGTTTAATCCGGTCTCTCTACGATTCTTTTTATAGAGATCCAAGATCCCCTGATAAGTCCGAAATATGCTTTGGCCACGCATGACAACAGGGACTTTAATGTCTTGCGCACTGGCTTGACAGAACGGGCATGGGTACGTCATGTTGGAGGACGTAGACATCCCTAGCAACTGAAATAGTGCTGCTTTAAATTCACAGTGTACTATATCAAAGACGGAGGGTTAACCATTCTTCAATTTTCAAAACATATTTCCCTGCCAAATGATCGAGTAGTTCGCTGTTTATTAGTCACATGATCGAAATACTCATAACTGGATCAGTATATTTACCTGCCATTCAGCTTTTGTATCAGCACAGAAAACGAACTGTAGTTCATGCCCATCTAGACTATATGCTGTCTCATTGTCAAGGAAGCTGTTTACGCAAACCATCATTTTACAGAGGTTATCCTCTGTATCAGGACAGTCTGCGTAAACGAACGGTACGTGTTTCAGACAAGCGTTGCACTTGCTCTGATTTATTATATTCAGTGCAATCTTGGTCGAGGGTGAGCTGTCTGAATCGATGAACAGCTTAACTATACTCCTTGTTTTCTACATTTAGTTTCGTAAAAGCAGCAGTAGAAATGCGTTTTACAGTATCCCCCTGGCCCTCGTCGTTGTCGCTGCTGCTAGAATCAGCCTGAAATATTGAAACCGATGCTATTTCACCGAACATCTCAATACAGCGTATTTCATAGTTATTGACTAATAATGTTTTCGTAGTTATAATTGGCTTGACTTATTACCTGGAAGTTCATCACGGGGACAAAATGGTCTTGGTGTTTTCTTCGTTTAGACTGCTCAGGGTTATTAATAGTCTTTACAGGTCTTTTAATAACAGTCAGACATAACGGCTTGCCCCTCTGGTTCTTTATTTCTACGATGTTTCTGAAATTATTTAGCCACGATAGAATATTCATGCTCAATTCTTTTTCAAATACAATGAAGTTAATTTGTTGGCTTCATGTTATGATCCTTATTAATATTTAAGTAAGTGAATTGACAGATACCGATTGGTGCTGTGGGTTCGTATTCTTTCAATAGCATGGCGGGCAACTTTAAAACAAAGGTCGTCGGGGGGGCTGTTATCGTTCAGGAATTCATATATAGATTTATCCATCCTGGACATTTTCTTGACAATCTAGATAATATTTAAATAATTTGTGGTTCATAGGGTAGACAGGTTTCCAAATTAAGCTGCTGTCTGGTTTCTATTGCTATAATTTCGGGGACACAACAGAAACAATTATGTATGTAAATTTTAATATAAATAATTAACACGGAATTTTAAGAATGTGATCAATATATTGGAATATATACATAAGTCAAAAATGGTCAAAATATCAGTTCAACTTCTGAACATAGCGGCGACTGTGAGGTATCGGCCGTGTCGGGGATCGCAAGCGGCCATCATGTTCTTAGCGTCGAACATCTGTTGGGTGAGTTCTGGAACTGTGAGTGTTCTGTACTGCTGGTGAGTGGGGCGAATCCTGGCATGGGGGAAGGGAACCATGTTGACGTCGAGTTTCCTGAGATCAGCGTTGAGCTGTCCAGGGAATCTGAGGCAGGTGGTGACACCATACATGGTGGCGGAGACGAGACGGTACGGTTGAGCTCTCCGTATGTGGGGGTGGTGAGTTTTAGGGTTCTGAAGCAGATATCGTACAGGGCTTCGTTGTCGATAGCGAAGGGGAGGGTACTACTGAGAAGGCTCTGTTCTGTGAGGGCTCTGTACCTCAGCTGCTCTCTCAGCTGCTCTCTCCGCTGCTGCTTCTTCTCTGAGGAATAAGATAACACGTTATGGTCTTTCAATTTTTGTCACGTGCGAATTACTAGATTGATTGTACAAATATGTGTAACATTGTTTCCTTATTGACTTCAAAGATAAACATACTCCAACATGCGGTACTGTGTTTGAAGCTGCACAATCTGTGCAGCTATCTTGCCCATTCGGGCTGCCCTGCTAGTACGCTCTCGCTTCATGCGGTCGTATCTCCTATTGGAGGATCTGACCCGGTACCTCAGGTCGACCTCCTCTAACTCCATCCAGGAGAACCCTCTGCCGTTGTCCAGCCTGAGGTACCGGGGCAGCACCCTCCCCAGCGTGGAGATCCTCACGCTCTTCTCTTTCGTCATCTCCAGGCTGTACCGAGACAATTGC